ACTTCATCATCATTAATCTTACACACTGGGAATCTTCTTCTCAGTCTTTTGACATTACAGTACCATTTAACTATCTATTTGTTATATTAAGCTCTCATTTCATGACTGTCTTCTTCCTATCACAATTATATATTTCCTGGATGGTATGCTACCTCTCGCACACAAGTAATTAACAATATGCTACCACCAAACTATTTACACCTACTATTGCCTCTAGCTCAACCATAATTTTGATCCTTCAGAGACTGCTGTTCAATGTGTAACACTGCATATTTCTGACAGACAACTTAGAAACCAAATACATTTATGAATCCCTTGGAAATTCTTGAGTGAAAAGCATTACAGAAGTATACATTATTAACATGAAAATCCTCGGTCTGTAGAAAATATTTTAAAAAGTTTTTATTATGTTAGATAAAGATTTTAAAAAAACTATCTCCAATAATGTGTAAAATAGATCTAGAACACAGCACTTGGCTGTTTGATGAGTAACCCCAAGACACCAAATAAAGGGTATGTTTTCCTTAAAATTTCTAAGTCAATATTCTTAAATTCTAAGTAAAAAAATTCAGAAAGGACTTTTATTCTTCTTTTTAAATTGAAAAATAACTTCATCTTTTTTGGAGAAGAGACACTTTCCTTCCCCCTCCCTCAATAATTCAGGGAGCTGTTTTGGCAATATTTATACATATTTATATTTATATTTATATAAATATATATTTATATAAATATATTTATATTTATATATATATAAATTTATATTTATATAAATATAAATATTTATATAAAGCCCTGAAGCTTTACCTTGTATAAAAAGATCAAACTCAAAACAAAAATACCAAACTTTAACAAATACATGTATGTATTATACATACATATACATAGACATATATACACACATATACATAAAGAGAAAGTCACTTTGACACATAAAGGAACTCAAAAAATCTAATGCAAAACAAAGACAGACCATTTCCCTCTATTACTGTTCTGGTTTAGCTATGCACAGCTTTAAATAACAATAAAAGAACATCTCTTTCTCATCTCCTATTGAAGTTTTAACCTCATTAGTATACATGCTTATTAATTTCTGATTATCCCTCCATAAAACATACTATTGTACCTGAACTTCCACACCCACTGTACAATGTAGATTTTGTTTCCAATAAAATAAATGGTCATAAATCACTTAAAAAATAAAATAACTTAATTATGTGTTTTATAGGCAAAAAGGGACACATTATATGACAGTTCCAATAATCAGATACTCGAACGCTCCTAAGCATGCATTACACTAGCTCAAACTGTGTACAGATGATGCAGTAGGTAGAGAAGAGATTCTCTAAGTAAAACTCAACTTAATGTGCACTTCCTGGTTTGAGAATATATTCTCAGGAAGCTTTTGATTTGTTTGGTTTTATGACTTTGGCTCCTTTCATTTTTCATTAGTGCCAATACTTTTAAGATAATGTAGTTTAGACACGTCATGGCTCCTGAAACTCATGGCAGGAGCTTGAGAATGACTAGAAATAATCTTGCTGTATCATCGAGAACCATGAACACAGAACAGACATTGGGACATGACTGAAATTATTAAGGAGAATAATGAAAAAGCAAATGGTGGGAAATGTCTTACCACAAAGGTGAATGAGTAGGGAAGCCCATCTGATCTGGAAAAGACGATTTGAGATTTCAAAAAGAGACTTGCCGAAAAAAAATGAGAGATGATGAAAATTAAAGTCCTGAGATCCAAAATAGGCTGCTGAAAATGGAAATGGGTAGGTAATCAAACTTGGCTGTCTGTAAGGGGATCCAGATTCAGAGAAGGTGTAACAGTACCTTGCAAATTGAGAGACATGATTCTGCAGAACAAATCCAGTTGTGCCACTCAATTTTTGCTAGTATTTTTAAAACCCAATTTCTTGTATGAGTAATGCTTCCATTCTTAAATTACTTATCTTAGCCTCAAAGGTATACATTTTGAGGGAAGGCCAAAGACAGAATTTATTGAACTTTTAATGCATAATTTTTAAGAAAAGAACATTATGTCTAATGTGTTCGTGCAACACGTTCGTAAAAAGTAAACAAAGTATATTGAATGTTACTAAATGGAGAACTTATACCAATTAATGAATTAAATTTAATTAACTTTAGGTAAATTAAAAACCACTGAAACTCAATTTTTATCAATATGCTACCTTCCGGGAAAAACTGTCTTAAAAAAAAAGTTGATATTCTTAAAGGTTTGTATTGGATAGAAACTAGGCAGATTCATTAACTGTAGCTCTAAATGTTTATTTTGTGTGGGAGTAGGCTGGAATGTAGTAATATGTGAACTAGACTTTTGAACATCTTCCAATCACACCCACTCTGTTTCCTAATCACACATGTAAGTTATGTTTTAAATACAAACATTTTCATCCCCTTCATATTTTAATAGAACACATCTATCCATAAATAAGCACAAAAGGGTTAAAGATCTTTGTGTCCACAAACTACTTTGCAAAGGTTTTTGAAGTCTATGTAAGAATATTCAGCCCTTCCTATATTTACACCATCTGATACATCTGATGGCAGGGAACCTGAAGTATTTAGTATCAATGTACACAGTGACTGTAATGCAATGAGATTTAATTAACATGTCAGCACAAATGGATCCCAATGAGTGCTATCCTTAAAAGTACAACCAATCATGGTTACTGGGAACCATTAGTGAATAAGTTACTCTGGACAACTTCCCCGCCACCCCACCCCTGCCATATTAGGTAAAAATACTTTAAAACTGTATTATACACGGGACTCCTAAAGAGTATATGCCAACTCTAAAGAATATGACGTAACATCTTCTTAACAACCCACCACCCAGCTTTACCATAAACACTAATCACAACATTGGGTTGAAATAGTGATTCCCTAAGGGGGCAGGAAGCAGTCTAGGATTGTTTGTTATCACTCCCAGTGGCCTAAGTCTGTTGTTACTTCTGAGTCCTTATGTCAATTTTCCATTGTTTTCTGGACTACAGCCTTGCCGCCATGTTGTCAGCTATCACTTTTCATTTCTGTCGGTAGAACTTCATTTCAGCCACGATGGGAATGGAAGCATGAATGACCAAGCTTATTCAAATTTCACACATAAGAAGTAAGTAAGCAGAGCAAGGGCCCAAGAGGCTCTCCTATGAATAAAGTTCCTAGAATTTATTGCATGGATTTTGTGACATCTATTTTAGCTGTCCACAGTACTTTTGTGTTACTAAGCGCCTGGTCTTAAGCTTTGCTCCAGATAACCATGAGCTTTGCTCATGTAGACGAGCTCCTTCTTGCAATGCTGTGATACTGTCGTTGCTCAAAAACATTTCTGAAATTCCTCTTTTGGAATTCCACTTACAAACCACACAAGAAAACTATTCTCAATTACTTTGGTCACAAATAATTTTTTTCAAACAAAAAAATAGCATTAACTATATTTAATTATACATTACATTGCTCAAATTTGGCTCTGAACGACTTGTGACTACTTTCAAAAATGAAATCTACTCTCAAAGAATGAAGATTCACTGTGCTGAGGACATGCAAGAATGTGCCGTTGGCCTTGAAGATAATTCTAAGAGGAGCTGTAAAAATGAGCAATGACAGCATCAATGCACTAAACATCTAATGTTCCAAGAGGATAAGAGAATGGTACTCATTTAGATTTAGAAATCCTGCTGTTTCTTTAAAATTATGTCTCCTTACCTTAAGGTTCCACCTCTACTTGCTTAGCCTCTCTTTCTCTCAGATGAGGCTTCATTTTCAGAGTCCATGGAAAACATTCCCCAAACGAAACCCTTCTACTGTACTGTGGCAGTAATGACTACAATACTCACTGGCCAAAAGCCACAGTTCAGGCCTTGAATTGCTGTGAAGCCACTTTTGATTTCACCACAATTCTAATTCAGACCATTACAACAGAAAAGAAAAACAAAAAAGAGAGGGGTAATCACTCATCCCCACTAAAGAACATACATTGAGTAATAAAAAGAACATTTTTTCACATTGTACTTTATTAAGAAATTTGAATGCAAGAAGTATTTCCCCAGATATTGATTACCCATTGTCCCAATGAATAAAACTCAAACAAAAAAACAAACAACAACAACAACAAAAAACAAGCAGGCAATCAGGTGAACAAATACCAGTAACAGAATCTGGAAAAACATTTCATTTGTCAGCTTTCGATCCCCTCACTAAGGGTTTCCACAACATAAACCAACCCTGGGTTTGCTGCAAACTGAGATGATGAAGTTGCTAGGTATTAGGGAAACAAAAAGATGGAATAATTTATTCTAGTTCAGATCCTATTAATTCTGAGTTTAGGTAAACTTAGAGTAAAAGTGTATCAATTTCATAGTGAAAAAAAGTTTTCCTTCATGTAAACAATGATTCCTGAAATGACTGTAATAAATTAACAAAAAAAAAAAAAACACACCAAAACCTACAACAAATAGATACAATGGATATAAATGAGAGAATAGAAAAAAAAAATCCTTTCTTCTTGAAAGCTAAGTGCCATGTACATTGCAGACTCATATAACTCAGGACGGACAACTGGGAATTAAGTATTTTCCCTGCACAAAAGCAACTCCAAATTGACAATTACTATTGTTTTACATCTTCAAAGAAAGAAATTCATTTTGCAAAGCTGATTAATCATATTCTGTTTGAATACAACAGAACTTGACTATTATTATCAGTAATATGGAGCAAAAGAAAAACCCTGTGACCAATTTGTACAACATGTGAAACTAGAATACATCTCAGATTTTCCAGCCTCAACCTGCAGTTCTCATTTATGAAACAAATTACCAAGAACTACTCAAGAGATGATTTAATAAGCATACTGCACTTTGTCATGGTGCCATGTTGCCTTAGTCATAATCAAATATACTCAGCCCTTACATGAAACAAGTCTAAAACTGAGGCAAACACCAAAAAAATACAAAGCTACGGACATTTTAAAATTGAGCTCCATTATTAACTTTTAATTTTAAAAAAAGATTGCCAAATCAAGGTTTCATTTCTTCTTTGAAAATCTTTTACCTTTAGTAACAAATAAAATTTTCACTCACAATGACATAGCAAGTAGTGAAAAAGAAAGTTTTGAATAATCTGATGAATGTGAAAAGAAAAATTTCTTATCAATGACTATTAATGGTAATGCTAATTTCATGCACAAGAGATTGTCAACCTTTAAATCACTATTTCAATAAACAGGCACTTCTATAAAGTATATTTTTTTCAGTTGGCATTCTCAATACAGGGGCATCACAAAGTATGGCTTTATTACAATGGATTCAAGATGGCAACTACTTAGAACCCAGTGCCAACCAGGATTATAACAAATCCAGTGAGTATTTTGTTTTTCAATTATTCATAGAAAATTTAATCCTGATTAAGTATCCTTGGGCAGGAATTCATGAGTAGTTGATGACTGCAACCAACATTTATATGAAATGCTTCTGTTAATTTAATCTGTGTATATGGCTTAATTATGATTGAGGATTCAATATAAGAGAAATGAATTATATCAGGATTAAAATTTTAGTACCATATCACACATTCCATTTTTCATTTTTCTTTTCAAAACTGCAAGCCTGCTATTTTTCCATCATAATACTGTGACCTTTTAAAAGCTTTCTTCTGGGCTTTCTGTCCACACTATCCATATATTTTTAAGTTTTATTTTTCACATAACAGTTTATCAAAAGCACCTTGCTACTCAAGTTGAAACCTGAAGCAGAGTCAATAGTGGTAGAAAATACATATGAGGTTTTCTCCCACCCACAAATAAACAAAAGCTTACTAAATTTAGATGTGAACACTTTACATTCATTTCCTGAAGTGATTTCATTTTTCAAGCCTTTTATATTCTTAAACATGAACTGCATTTTCCTTCAAGCTTAAAAGAGAAGCAATCTTAGTCAGTGTATTACATTGATTTCATAACTGGGTTATTTGAGACATGTTTGAGCAGGTAATCACTTAACTGATTACTTTTTATAAGGCTGTCAAACCTGAGTCAGCTATATTGATACAAGATGAGGAAGTATATGTATTGAAAATACCTAACCAAAATATTACACAGTTCCTTTTCTCCTTTGTTTCCACATGGAAAAAACTGATCACCACAGAAGAATAACCTTTCTTTAAAAGTTCATACTTTATATATATTTCATATTGGCTTTCTTCAGTTTTGGTACTGTTCAGATGCTCTGCTTTTTCTGTTAGATTTTTCCCAAAGAATATATGAACAAAAATATGAAACATCACTGTATTTGGATCCTTATTGCACTTTGTTAAATGAATGCACTCTCCCTTTAATCAAGTATTAAAAATGAGGTCGACTTTTGTGTCCAGATGATATTGTCAATGGTAGCGTTACTGAAGAAAGTGAAGAAACTTCCCAGTATAGACTATGAGACAGAAAAAGTCTGTAGAGGATAACCATGGAAACAGATTGGCAGATGATAACACCTATTGTAATAGCCTGAAAGAGAGAAAGTGAATTCTTTTAATATGTAAAAGTCATCATTCTACATGAAGAAACACAGAGATTATATTCAATTTATTATATGCCCTCATATTTATTATTTTAAAATATTACTTCTTTCCTGAACTTCAGCAGACTATTTTAATATAGAAAAATACAAAAGGAAAATACCATTAAATGTTCAGAACTGTAATTGTCCGCATGTAAAAATCCTCCAGCAGTGAGTTTGTAGATGGCAAAGTGAGACACAAAAGAATAATTTTATAGACCAACTTCCCTCCCAAGGAAGCCAAGTTGTACAGAGGGAAGAAGTTTCTACAAGTAATGAGAAAAATTGGGTTCCAGGCTAATACAGCAATAGGAATAAAACATCCCCTCCCCCCACAACCTTGAAAGTGCTCTAAAAGCCCTTTCAAATTCTCAAGTCACTTCTCTATTTTTGTAGACTACCTTTCTACCTATTTTACCCTTTGTAAAATACCTCAGGCTCAGAAAACATTTGTGCATTCAAGCACACACTGCATTGCTTGTAAAGAGCTGCTGGCAGCACTCCACTTTGGAATGATGGAGTTATTCACCTAAGAAGGTAGGTATCGACACAAATCAAAATATGGCATACTTGAGCGTGGCAGCCTCCTCACTCCAGTTCCCAGCATGTTAAAGCAACAAGATAGATTCCTGTAAATCCACTTTGATTTCTACTGTTGTTTACCAAATGAATAAAGCATATCATGAATTTTAAAAAATTAATCTCCGGTCAAAGACAACATTGTGCTGTGGTTTTTCTAATTAATTTGATTTTGTAAAACATTATTGTGGAATTGGCTAACCAGGAAAAAAAAATCCTACCAAAAGCAGTGTGAAGCAATGACTACATTTTCACCAGAGGCATATTTAAAGAAAACCTCTTAATGGGCTAAGATCTAGTGTTAAACTGCAAACACTGACTCCACTTCTTGTCTAGGGTGGTCTCCTTAAAAGCAGATTTCTGCCTAATTTTTGGTTTTGTGGTAAAGAAAAAGAAAAATATGTAATGTACTTTTCTTCTAGGGAACTTTATTCTAAAACTCTAATTTGCACAAAGGCTTTAAGCAAAAAGACCCATTGCTTCAGTACAAGTTGTGTTTTACAGAGACCCTCCTCCCCTTCCTTCCAAATAGACTTAACTTCTGAATCTCTGAGACAGTTTTAGCCTTCTCATAATTACTTAATCAAACATACACATAATTATACTCTCATAATTACTTAACCAACACATATGTATATATGTATGTATATAAATAATAGTTTTAATTTTATACTACCCACCTTCTCTCTTTGGTAGTCACTAAAAATAACAGAAATGGTTGCCAGACCTGGATGGCATAAAAACCATAAGATACAGCCCTAAAACAGAAGGATAAAATGTTAGATGAGTAAGGTTGTGCTTAGACTCTGAAATGAAACTACAAGAAGTATAGTAAGAGAGTACAAAGCTGATTAAAATCAGTTCCACTTGTCTTCAAAGTGGAACTGTATGACTAGGTCTTGGAAGTACTGATTTTGCTACTGTCATGTTAATAAGTTTTTTGTCTCACCAGGTTGATTATATTTTTAAAGCACTTAGAAACTCATGTCATATATACATGAGTATTCTCAAATAGGGTTTCTTAAAGGCACCCAAAACAAAAAAAATATTCTTTAATCTCTAAAGAATTTTCAGGATGAAACAAAGTGGCATTTCCTTCCCTGATATGTAGATTAGAAGTGCTCAAACAAGGATAAGGATTGATATAACTGACATTAGGTATGGCTCCTGGTAAAGTCTAGAACAGGGATGGGGAACCTTCTAGGTTCTTGGGTGTGGCTTTTTGACTGAGTCTAAGTTTTACAGAACAAATCTTTTTATTAAGGGGATTTGTTCTGTGAAGTTTGGATTCAGTCAAAGGGCTGCACTTGAGAACCCAAAGGGCCACATGTGGCCTCAAGATCACAGGTTCAAAGTAATTTCCCCATCCCTAGATCTAGAAGGAAGACATGGCCTGGGGTAAGTCTGAACTGCTGGACTGCCTACCCTCTACCCCACCTCCTGCACCCTTTGCTGAATCTTGTGAAAACTTTCCCTTCTTAATTCAAATTAAATCAAATTGGCTTCAAGATCACAATCACAACAGGAACAGAAGTAAAAAGGCAGAAGAGAAATGGAAGAATAATTCTCACTATTCTCTTCTTTGCCTTTGAACAATAACGCAGAAAGACCTTTGTCAGATACAGGATCATGGGATTTAGAGTTAGAAAGGACTTGAGAAGTAAACTCATATGGTGTCCTCATTTCACAAATGAAGAAACTAACCTAGAATAGTTAAGTGACTTGCCCAAGGTAGTAAGAGGCTAAGCTAGGCCTCAAATCCGGGTCCTCTGATTCCAAATTCAATGCTTTTTCCCATTATGCCATGATATCTCCTCCACCTGTCCCCACTGCTCTCTGGATTTTTAACTATTTAAAGGTGAGGTGGACTAAGCACAATGTAGAATGTATCTCAAACACTTGGCTGTGTCTGTTTTCGTGCAAAAAATGGCCCATCACCCAACTTTTACCTCTGATGATGCCTGTATTATGAAAGACCGTACTCTTCAGCTGCAGCATCTGTCATATATCATATGTCTCTTAAGGAAGGACTGGGGACTGGACTTGTGATTTTACTGATGTAGAGAACACTCTGGTGAGAAAACTCCCTCTAACCAGTACAAATCAGTACATCCTCTGTACTGATAGTCTTAGAGTTACCTAGAGCAGTGGTGTCAAATAAAAAGCCCACAGGTTGCATGCATCCCACAACACTCTTCAGTCTGGCCCAAACTAGACTAAAATGTAATTTGGAAATATTTAACAGAATAAATAAAATTACAATAAAACACAGATAACATCACATTTTAAAACTAAGTCAATAGGAGACCCAAAGACATTCTTATGTATGATTTAGTTGTTCCTGTTTCTCTCTGAGTTGGACATCACTGGCCTAGAGCACTGAGGGGTTCAGTGACTAGACCAGGGTCACACAGCCAGTATACGTCAGAGGTAAAACTTAAACTTAGTTCTTCCTGGCTCTATTCATGACATGATGCATCCTGAGCTAGTCAGAGACCGCTTGAAGAATCTAAACTACTTTATTACTTATTCTTACTAACTCTTTATTCCTTACAACAGTCCTGTACAACAGCAGAGAATAAATAATCTCTCCATTTACAAATTTCAAAAAATCTATGGGTCAGAGATACTGAATGATGATTACAGAATGAACTAATAGTGATGCTAGCCTGGGTCTCCTGTCTCCCAGATGGATGTTTTACACATATGTACCATTTACCTTTATGAAAAAAGTCTAAAGAAAACATAATAAAAAAAAGTTATTTCCTACACAGAACACTCACTTTGGCAAATGTGATGTAGAATTCCCTTTTAAGTGTGCTTCTTTCCACTGTGATGATCTGGTAGAGACTACAGCCTATAGATAATGCGAGGCAAACTCTTAAAACAATTAGAAGTATCCCTGCTAAGTTATGCTGTGCATGGTAGCTGTGGTGGTTGGTATCTTCAAATTGTTCCCAAAGCAGCAAAATACTCTGTAAAAAAAAGCAATTTTAGATTTTAGAAAATATAACTATGTACTATGTCTATTTAAAGAATTTCCCCAAAACGCTTCTCTAAAAACTACTGAAGATGTTACATAGTCAAGCAAACCACAAAGATTGTCACTTGATAAAGTATGGGCATAGTTCTTTATTCAATGATACATTGCCATTCTTTAAATATAACAATAAAAAAAGACAGTTTTTCCAAATCTAAAGTATCAATACAACATTAAAAGAAAGAGATCTTCATGTTTCCTCTAAAATTCATTCACTGTTCCAGTCTTCCCTATCAGGATCATGTTGGTTCTCCAAGTCTACAACCCTGGGGACAATCTTCAATACCTCACTATTCTTTTATAATCTGGAAATCTGTTCATTTGTTTATTAAAGGTCTGTCTCTCCTATCATGTCTTAAGGCCTTTAGGTGCAGATCTGTATATTTGTTATATACTGTAAACTATTTCTATGAACCCTCTGAATTTTCAGTACTTTTTAGATTTAATTTTTGCTATGTTTGCTTATCAGAATCATTAATTTCTACAACCAGTCCATCATTCCTCCCACTGCCAAAGCTCTTCATCAAATGCTGAATACCACACACCTGAATTGCTGTTAACATACTTTACAGAAATCCTAGTCATTAGTCTCCCCTTCAGTCAATCTTAAGTATCACTTTTAAAACCTATCAAACAAACAGACTTGAGAATGTTATCCACCACCTTAGAATGTTTAATGTCTCCTAAGCTATTCCTGGATTTCAGAGGCTTAAATCTGTACAAATCACTGTTTTAGTCATTCAACTCCCTTGCCATTCCCCATGTAGGAGACTTCCTTCTCAGGTCAAAGTCTTTGTGCAGGTCATTCTCCATTACTAGAATAGCCCGCCCTACCCCTAACCCCTCTCAGTCCAACCACACCGAACTCTTCTCATTCTGTAAGCTGTGGTCCAAAACATTCTTATAAGAAAATGCTTCTCATTTACCAGAAAACCACTCTTTAATAGTCTTCACATCACTTTTACTCATTCCAGCTCACTCTCACTTTATAAACATAAATTGATATATAATCAATGTATATATTTATGCTGATAGAGTGACTACCATCCTTTTCACTTTATTAAATTGGAGGTCATTGACATGCAATCTATACTCTATAAGCTCTCATATAATCTAGTACAGTGACATATACCTTATGAATACTCAATACATAATTTGTCTGTGGTGATGTGTTAAATAGAGCAAAGAGTTTGGGATCAAATCCCTTTACATTCAATCTTTTCTTCTTTTTAAAAGGTAATAGGAATTGCATGAAGGAAAGACCATAAAGTAAGAAATGGAAACTTGATCTATTAGTAAATCTATCTCATTTACTAATTATTTTCCAGGATCAAAATAACTACAATTGTTAGAATTTTGTCCATTTGCACTTATTTTTAAGCTTATTTTTTGCCAGTAACATTTATTTCCGGGTATAATAGAATTTTTCCTGTCTAAGTAGTGAGTATATATACTTACCTGTGATAAGCCTCGGAGCTTCTCTTCCTCAGATCATTAGTTTTTTATTCTAAGCTATTCCTTACAGAATTATGACATAATATTTATGTTTACCTGAAAATAATACTTACCATTAATCAGTCATAAATCATATACATTAGTAAATTTCCTTTCTTTACTCTGATTTTTATATATCTTTTTACATCTTATACGTAGAACTTGGTATCTTGAAATAAAGTAGATACCATCACACTACATTTAGTTTAAGAAAAAGAGGTTAAGAGAAATCAGTAACAAAGATTTTCTTTAAGACAAAATGATCTCTAGTTCACTTAAATTCTGCCTCTTCACCATTCTAGGTTTTCATTTCCAGTTAAATTTAAACTCCATTTTTCAGTCAGTGATCTGAATTCTGATATACTTACCAACAAAATTGGACCTGGTGACTTTATAATTAATCATCTTTAACACTGCGTTATTCTGAAATAGCACAAATTCCTCCATAGGAGATTTTGATTCGGCTAAGTTGACGTTAAATGGTATTAATTAAAAATGGCATAAAGTTAAATGATATTCAGATTGCATGCTGTCTTGGGGAGAGACGAGGGAAGGGAGGAAATTTAAAACTTAAAAACTTATGGAAGTGAATGTTGAAAACTAAAAATAAATTAATTTTTAAAAGTTAAATGATATTAGTACTATCAGGCTGAAGTTGGAAAAAATAAAAATTTCTGTATTAGGTGCTAGTACTCAATTCTATAAATGTAACAAGAAGAGCTTGTGACTGTCTATTCGTAATTTCAAAATCAGGATACATTCAAAATTTACAATACTTCTCAAATTTAATTCTACCCTCTAAACAAAGCAAAGCAGAAAAATCAGACTAAATAGCACAGACCTGTATTATGACAATGACTACAGCTATGCCAGTAGATGCTGGAGTAGAATCCCACTGGAGAGGTCTGCTTTGATACTTCTTCATTCTGCCTATTGTCCAACCCATGCATAAGCTCAGTAATAAGTACAGCATCTGGATCTGGGAGGCTATGTCACAAACTGATGAAAGATTAAAACAAAAACTGACAGTCATTCTTCTTCATACAAAGTATTCCTTCCTTCTAAGAGACTGGCAAACAAAAGAGATAAAAGAATAGCAAACCAGTCTGTGAATTAAAGTGACACTCTGGAATTATACCTTTCACTTAGTACTCAATTCAACATGTAGATGGTTTAGATAAATATGAAAATGGAGCCAGTGTTGCTTATTTATTTAGCCCACTAACTTAACTTTTATTCATGAATCACCACCACTACCTAATAGCCTATTGTTACCTTATTTTTAAAATCCGACTCAACCCAGAAAAATCTGAGCCCAAGAACTGATTCCTAGTACAATGCGTGCACATAGTAGGCATTAAGTAAATGGTTACCAAATTTAATTCAAATAAGTTGGAAAGGGTATTAGATATCATCTAGTATAAGCCTGTACTTCATAAATATGGAAACTGGGGTTCAGACTTGATAAAGGTACCACAGTTTATCGATGGCAGAACCTGGGTTTTAATTCCCCATTAGTACACTTTACAAGACCATGCCAAGTTACTATGAATTTCATTTTAAATCCAAGTATTTGTAGCACAACTTTTATACAAAGAAAAGTATGAATCTATTCAATCTGAAATTTGATCACTACAGAAGTAATGCTTCTAATAAATCTATAAGATCACTTAGGTTTTTATCTTTATTCTTTGAATAAATGTTAATGTTTTGTTTAAAGTAAGTACTTATATAATACCTCTAGAAAAACCCACCTTAAATCTAATTTTGAATAACTATGTGGTATAGCAGAAAGAACAGTGGACTTGGGAACAAAAGATTTGGGCTCTAGCCCGAGCTCTGCTGCTTACTGGCTATCTGACCCTGAGTGGATCACTTCCTCTCTCTGAGACTACTGCCTCATCTGCAAAATGGGGGTAATAATACTTGCATTACCTAATCTCATAGGCTGTTGTGAAAACACTTTGTAAAGTGTAAAACAGCTTACACAAATGTAGCTACAATTAGTAAGCTTTTATGCTTGTGCCTTAATCCAGTTCTCTTAACACATAATTTGTTATTTATTTCATTGAAATTGTTGCAATGTTGTGATTCTTAATCAGAGCAGGCCACAATATTTTATGTTTCTTTAACTTAACTATAGTGTTTAGAGTCAATATTTTCTAACACGAAGTATTAATATGAAATAATATGGTAACAGACACATGACTATTGCATGATTTGCTATCTGGGGATTAACAGTGTAGAGTCACAGTTTCAAGTTCTGAAGAAAAATGAATGCCCATTGCACTAGTGTGATGCGCCATCAGGTGGCCATCATTTAAAATTGCAAGTTGACATCAACGGAAGCAACATTAATGCAAATAGAGCATTAATGGATGAAGTAACAAAACAGTAATAAAATCAAGTAAACCAAAAGGACTGAAAACATTTTAAGTTTACGTGGTTGTTGCTTCACAAATTATTTCTCTGCAGGCCAAAAAATACAGAATCACTTTTATGTCCCAACGAATTTTGATTTGGTCCATGGTAAAATTTATCCCAATTTAACAAAATATATCTTTCTTTAGAATCTTCTCTACATTTTTAAAGCTACCTAGGACAGCCACTATTCTCATCTGAAGCTATTTTTAAAAGTGATATAAGGTTAACTATAGAATAAAATTTACTTATGTTCAAAGAACATAAGCCAAATATAACTAATAATGACATGATCTATTGGATCAAATAATTTGAGTTTGCTGTCAACTCAGAGAGTCATAATTATAATGGGTTATTTTGTCTTTATGCTTGTATTTTCATTTTAGGATAGGATATGCCAAACTTAGTCTTTTTAAATGACTGATATTTCCAAATGATATGAAGACATTTTAGATTTCGATATAATATTTATACAGGATCTCTTAATCGCAAAAGTTAAAATGTAACTTTTGGTAAATATTGTACATCTGTCTATTTGGTCACTATATCATTATTTGGTTTTATTTATCCTATATGAACAAGGTAGCTAAATGGCACAGTGGATAGAGTGCTAGGCCTAGAGGTTGGAAGACCTGAGTTCAATTCTGGCCTTAGATAATTACTAGCTGGGTGACATTTAGTAGAGTCATGTAATCTGTTAGTCTCAGTTTCCTCAATTTAAAATGGAACTAATAATAGTATCTACCTCCCAGGGTTGCTGTGAGGATCAAATAAGATAATAATTGTAAAACACTTAGCACATTACCTTGCATATAAGTAGAAGCTACATAAATGCCAGCTATTTTTATCATCATAATCATCATATTTGTTATCATTATTAAACTGCAAAAAAAATCAAAGACAAATATTTACAACTTGTCTGATTTTCTAAATTATTTCTTTATGTATTTGAAAATTATGTTTGAAACAAAATAACATACAATGTTTTGGATGTAATTTTCCCACTGAACACAGAGTAGTTTAGTTCATCTTAAAGGGGAGTGAATTACCCACTAATTATAGGTACAACAAACTGTATGAATGAGAGTCCAGGAATATATGAATACTAAGAAATTTCATTTTGTCCAAGAACTTTAAATACTTCACTGACTCAACCCTAACATACATAATAATATTACCACTTAAGTTTTGCTTACTTTCCTTGATCAGCCTTTGGCAGAGGTACAAAGTGTGTGGCAGCCACATGGTATAATGGAAAGGACACTTGTCCTGTTGTTAAGAGACTAGTTCAAATCCCATATTTCTTATTAGCCCGCTGTGTGACCTTGGGCAAATTACTTAAATTCTCTCCGTGTAAGTTTCCTCACCTACATAATGGCAGGCTTGGACTGGATGACTTCTAATTGAGAATCTTATGATTCTGCAAAAGACAAAAGTTCATAACATGAAAGAGGTGGAACCAAGGGCCCTGAACATTCCACTATTAGATGAGCCCACTAATAAATCAAAGTTGATAGAGATGGACTGCAAGAGTTCATTCATAAAAAAAAAATTCATTCATGTCTTGCTTGTGAACACAAGTAAAATTCAGGTTCACTATTTTTTAAAACCTCAGACAACAGGATTAGCAGAGTGGATTCCTGGACCAGTATAAGTAATTGGCCAGATGACAACCCATTTGATAGTGAAATGTTAGGGAGACAGAAACATAAGGAATGCTACTCCCTTAAGGGTATATTCATATTTAGAACCTGAGTTTTAAGGTAGGGTCTACAAGGTTTGTCATCATATTTTTTATTCTCAATTGTGAAAAGGTATGTACTCAAGCCCAGCTGAACTTTTCTGATTTAATTCTGTACTCCAAAAATAAAAAGCAGGAAAAATAAGATTAAATTTAGTTGTATATCATGACAATTACTGCACCTATGTCAATCATTGTCACATAGACTGATTACTCTCTGAAATTTTTCCATTGTTCCAGACTTGGCAAAAATTCATGTGATCACTAAAGAAACTGATTCTCATTTTAGAAAAATGACTTACTGAATTATAGGTACAGGCATTGGTTTTTTTTTTGTTGTTGTTGTTTTTATTAGGCAATTGGGGTTAAGTGACTTGCCCAGGGTCACACAGCTAGTAAGTGTCAAATGTTTGGTCTGAGGCTGGATTTGAACTCAGGTCCTCCTGACTTCAGGGCCAGTGCTCTATCCACTGCACCACCTAGCTGCCCCTTACAGGCATTGTTACTGAAGAAAACAGAGCTAACTGGTCCATATAGAGACTGAATCTGTGACTTTAGCTGACTTAGTGCCAAAGTTTAATCAAATGAATTTACTGACCTTAGATAAATAAAACATAACCACAACCAAAAGTAATTACAAAAACTAATGGCTGTGCTTAAAAATATATGTATTTTTAAAAGATACTTACATTCTGCCAAACTTCCCATAAAAGGGACCCCAATTCCATCTTTGGAGTAACTAAGAAATGGAAAAGAGTAGCATTAGTGTAAACTACAAAGCTCTAAAACAAAATTCATAATCAAAATAACCATAATTTGGAAAGATTCATTAGAATTAATTAACTTTAATGAGTGAGTCTCAATGGTAGCAAGGTACCTGGAGAAATGCAGGTAATTAGTTAAAGCTGAACCAGCTTGCAAGAACAATGCCGTTGTTAAGACCTTTAAAACCATGTGCATAGGCCCTCCTTTCTTAATAGCCTGCCACAGCGATTGAGCATAAATGCAGGCAGCCACAAAGTATACCAGGACTAGGAGGAAAAAGAACTCATGTAACCCTGGAAGAGAAAAAAAAAAAGATGGTTTGCATCAATTGAAAAATAAAAGGTGTATTTCTAAGTTTACAAAAATCCCTCTGACAAAAAGTTTCTAGAAAAATTTTTAAATCTGAATCACATTTGGTATTTTGAAGTAAACTGGACTCACATATAACTGTTTGCTTTTGGTCATGAATTGAAAAAGTTCTTAAAAACCTAGTCTTCTAATTTTAGGACAAAATTTCAACCATAAAAAAGCAAGTCACGCTATAATCTTCTGTCCCTTAGTTTAAACAGTATAAACATCCTCCCTTGGTTACAATTAAGCTATAAAGAACCAAGGTAAATGTACTGGCTCTAATAGTCTCACTAACAGAACCCATGTTTTGACTTTATTCCAAAAAAAAAGTAAATGAAAACAATGCTTTTAATTTGGCATTCATTTGTATAATACATAGATTTGCCTTTCTCCAAAAATGCTGTTCTTTTCATATTAAAGTAAAAGCTAAGAATTTGTTTTTGTTACAAACACACTTTGCTATAGTCACCAATGGTTTGGTACATTTTAAAAAGGCCCAATAACTAATTATCTCGGCAAATTAACCAAGAAATATGTTTGTTATGGAAAATTTTTTAAATGATAGTTTTGGCGGTGAGGCTGGCTAATTGTATCTTAAATCCATGGAGCCAATACCCTAACTAAAATTTCTGGTTAACAGTCTGAATCCCATGAATGTGTGGTGAGAATGGCTCTAGCCAACTCTTGTTTCTATTATAATCCCGGACTCCCTGGGTAAACAGACTGTATTAAATAGCAGCTAAGAAAGGATATGGATTATAAGGGGAGAGTAAGGAGGATGATCCTTTCATATATATATGCAAACTCTCAATGTATCAAATTAAGAAAAACCAAGGATTAAGCAATTTTCATAAAAATATCTTAGTTGTTGGTTATATAATCACGTATATTTTATGAATTAAAAAATACAGAATAATAAATAATGAATGGTTGTTATAGCAATCTCATTTTAAATTAAATAAATGGTGTGCTCAATTACATTTCTATCTTTATTTCACAGTAGCAGAAAAATAATTGAGAAGTTTTAGATTTAAGATTGAAAAATTTGTGACCAAATTAAAAGTTTAATACTTTTTAGAGATATCACATAAATAATCACTTCTATCATAAACATTCTTATTAAAGAAAACGGAAAAAAATAATAGTTTTTGAAAGAGAAGTAAAAACAACTACATGGAGAGCCAGAAATGGGATGTATTCAATAAATAGTTCAATCATAAGTGTTTGATGAAAGTGAGGAATAATATGAAAACGGAAAAAAGGAAAAGCCAATAAATAGTTTAGCCACTGGGTGTCCCACTTGCTCCACATAAAATGAATTCTGGCACCCATGTTACAAAACTTCAAGGATCTGATTTTATCAATGTGGTTACAAACCTCCATATCTATAACTTTAATTACGCCTGAGCCAACATTTATGAATTCCTGTGGCTAAAGAAATTCATCACCTGGAAGGCATTTTGGTAATGAGTCTCTATGTTTGGCAAGGCTGGACAGCTGACACACAGTCCATTATTGATCCCATGCTCAAAGACTTTGCATGACTTATCACAATTTGCACTCTCTCAGGATCACTTCTAAACCCTGATGAAAACTTTCGTGAAGGATTATTAGAAAATCCAGGTGAAAAGCTATGTTTTTAGATTTAGTTTAAACTTCTGATTTCATCAGTGCAGGGAACTCTTGGCATGGACACCCCCTCCATCAATGCACATGAGCAACCTGTCTGTAACTTCTAGCCTTAAAGAACTGTCTGCAGCACTGAGACATTAAGTGATTTGTCCACAATAACAAAGCCACTATGTGTCAGCGGAAGGATTTAAGCTAGATCTTCCTGACTCTAAGAATCATAGTCTGAGACAACATGCCATACTACATCACTATATTTAGCCTTGAACAAATAAGGAAACTATAGGTGGGAGCATACATTTTCCCCTGTATTACTCAGAGAAGTATATCAGAACTGACACAGTGTCTGAAAGGGGTAGAGTCACCACCTGATCAGTGTTATCTCGTAAGAAAATTAGATAGGAACCACAAATGCTGCACATTTCACTACAGCAAATGCAGAAAACATGGGTACCATAACTAAAATCAATTTTATTTAAATTGTTCAGTTGTTGTCATTAACACTTATTAAATTTTTGCTTTCATTCTCTGGCCTATGATTTTATCTGTATACGGGAACTCCCAGTGTGGAATTTCCCTCTACCTCTCACTTCCCTGACACTAGCTCCAAACCACACTTCCCATGCTGTATAGTTCCTCCATCCCCCTCGCTCACCCCTTATAGGTCCCCTTTATCTTGTGTCACTGTATGCGTCATCTACTACACACACCACTTTTCCGTTATGTATTGTCTACCCCCATCAGAATATAAGTTCCTTGAGTGCAGAACTGTCTTGTTTGCTTGTATTTATATCCTCAGTGTTTAGTTCAGTGCTTGGCACATAGTAAGCACTAAATGAATGTTTTATTTTTCTGTCTATGAGCATGTGTGTGCATGTATGTGTATACACACACATATACATAAATAAATTCAAGACAAATATGTATATTTTTTTTCCCATTCAGGAGAGAAAACACTAGCAGCTGGAGGATGAGGGCTGAGAAAGATTTCATATAGAAAGTGCAGATCAGCAAAAATAGTCCTGCTGTTACTGAGAGGTTAAATGGCTAATTTGAAGACACACAACTAGTCCACGTTGGAGGCTGGACTTGAACCTAGGTTTCCCTGACCCCAAGGCCAACTCCACCATCCACCAGACCAGGGGTGGGGAACCTGCAGCCTTTTGACTGAGCCCAGGTTTTATAGAACAAATCCTTTTATTAAGGGGATTTGTTCTGTGAAGTTTGGATTTAGTCAAAGGGCACACTTGAGGACCTAGTGGGCCACATGCAGCCTTGAGGCCGCAGGTTCCCCACCCTTGCAATATACCATGCTGATCTGATTTCCTTTTACTCTTCAGTATTAGTGATTTAAAACTATCTTTCTTATATCTAGAACCTTTCTATAAAGGAGAAAATGGGCAAGTTTCATAAGTCTACAAATCTATCACAAAAGGAAAAGTCCTCCACTATTTACCAAGTAACACGAAGAAAGGACTTTTGAAAAGGAAACTCATATAACCAAAAAGATGTTTTGGGATTCTTCAGTATGAATGGCACTTCTGGATCCTAAGATAATAATCAGCAGAAGAAATTATTTCACTGAGACAGCAATGCATAAAATGAATTGGACTGAAGGCATTTGTGCAGCCATGGGTAGCATTTTGCTCACAGAATGCAATTTCACTGAAGTTTGCATAAATCATTCTTGCCTTGATTGCCTACAAGATAGTTTAAAAATATACTCCTTGTTTTGAATTCACTGTTCTTTTAAGCAAATAGAGTTTTAATGGGGAAAAAATTTCACTTACTTTTCAACCACCAATTTTAATTTTATTCAGCTGCTTACCTTTCATCAGAAGGAAATAATAATATGTGTTTGTTAATTCTGAAAACTAAGTTTAATTTTAAAAGATGGCACTGAAGAGTAAAACTTAGATAAACTCAAAAGAAAATGTACTTTTAAGGGAACATAAAATAGATGGTGAATATTACCTATATTATGAAATACATAAATCTGAACACAAACCAAATTTGGAAAAATTCTTTGCAATTTTCATACAGATAACTGGCAAATACTATTTTTCCTCTTTTGCCAATGAAGAAATCAAATCAGAGAATACTAAGATGAATTTGGTGAAAGATACTAGTGAAATAATACAGCAGGGCAAGGAGGGGGGAATGGTAACCTTTCACAAGTGACGTACTGAAATTCTGGTGCACAAATGAGGAAGAGTAATGAAGGCAAGGGAAGTGAGTGCACACTTCCTCTCAGGTATAGAACCGTACACCAATACTTTATTCTCACAAATGGTGAGGTGGAGGTGTTAAAGAGGTAACTGCACCACATACTGATGAAAATTAGTCCAATACCACCACATCTGGTTCACATGTGAATTTCTTCCTTGTTCTTCAAAATAAACTATATATTACCTGAACATATAAATATTTAGCATAACTACATTTTTTTTAAAAGGCTGAAGAACCACTTTGACTTTTAAAGCATTTTACTTTGTTCTGTTTACAAATGTGGTGTTCATAATCTATGTCAATCTGAAGCATAAGTGACTTAGATTTTTTTTTACATTGCAGAGTGAGTCTACAAAAAAAATAGCATTAACTCAAGCACAGTGGGTATAAAGAATTATATTTGATTTGAAAATAAATAATGATCACATACAACCTTAATTACAAATATTTGCAACATCATTTTATAACTCAAAATACCTCTGATGAATATATGGTAAGTCACTTCTTCTGAAAATGGGTACAGTTGAGACAATTTTCCTTCTTTAAGGGTGAAGTCTGGAAATGAGTTAAGTAAAATATAGACTAATAGATACTCTTGAAATGAACTAATGGGAAATGATTCACTGGAAACACAATTTTCATACACGATGCCACATGGGAGGAGAATCTCCCCAGGGGCTCAACTTAAAAACCAAAGTGTTCCTAAAATATTTAGGAACTTGTGATATTTTAATCTATGACAAAGAAATAACATAAGACTTGTTGGATATTTCAGTCAAAGAATAACGTAGTCTTTAGGAGGCATTTGATGGCAATGTTTCGTAAAAAGAAACCTTCTGGTAGTTTTAGTAATACATTCTTTTCCTTAGATTGGGTCAAAGATGATTCTAATTATATTCAATTCTAAAACTTATAAAAAGTCACACACACCCACACACACACCCACACACACGAAAAGGCAGATCAAGAGAGGCCATATCAGGGCATTGGTCTGGGCTGGTATGGTAAAGATGTACAAGTAGTACAGGAGGTAGGTTGGTACAGAATAATTAAGGCACAAGCACAAGTATGGTATAATGGCACAATTAAAAATTCTAATTTAAATTTGGCATAAAGTAAAAGGTAGGGGATATATATACACATATATAATATATACATACATATTAAACAATATATATTAGAGAAAAAGTATCCTTACCAGACTCTCCAGCACTAAAATGATCCAATGGATTCCCTGCAGCATCTGGATTTAGTAATATCATTTCAAATGAGATGTCTTCTAATTCAGAATTTTCAAAGTCATCATCACATGTAAACTTGTCAACATAAAACACATACCACATTTGAGGATATGGAATCTGAGACACAGTTAGGTTGTGTTCAGTATGATTCAGAGTCACTTTAAAGAGAAAGAAAAAGAAAGAAGATATACTTGATTATAAATTGAAAACAATTTATTTATTTTATAATATAAGTAAATGATGCAATCCTGCTCTCAACCAGTGATTTCATCCTATTTGAGGTTGTACAACCCCTTTTATTTTGTTCTTATTACCCTGGTAATACCTGGTTCAGTGTAGGAAGGTTATTGTAGGTAATTACTTTAGATAATAGAGCAATCAGAAACTGAATATGAGTCACAATTACACATACTCTTAATGAATGCTTAAAAAACTGTATTGAGAAAGTATAGCTCTTAAATGGAATAGAGTTTTCCTGGAACTTCATAATTATTTTAAATTACACTTAAAAGTTTCCAAGTGAGATAAATTAGTTTTCTGAAAAATATCTAAAGAGGTAAAATGTAATACCACAAAGAGTTTAACTTAGGAATTTATAGTCACTTAAGAATCTGCTAACTTTCATTACCAAAATTTTTATATATGAATTTTCTTGATAAACTACTTTTGAAAAAAATTATTTGAAGCAGATAAAAAAATGAATTATTTCCATTATCTAGTCTTATTTCTTTTCTTTTCTTTTTGCTAGGCAATGGGGTTAAGTGACTTGCCCAGGGTCACACTGCTAGTAAGTGTCAAGTGTCTGAGGCCACATTTGCACTCAGGTCCTCCTGACTCCAGGGTCAGTGCTCTATCCACTGTGTCACCTAGCTGTCCCCTCTCTAGTCTTATTTCAATGGATTTGGGAATTCCTCAAAGTAAGTATTCCCTCCAATTGTGCTGATGACAACTCATTCACACCTTTTAATCTTGTCCAACTCTTATTCATGTCCTCTCATAAATCCTCTACAGGAGTCCCCAAAGTGTCAGAGAAATTCCTCTAGATCTCAGTGTGTGTGTATCAGTGGAGAATGTGGATTGTTTAGCAATTATCTCTTATTCTTGCAGCATGACCTCTTTTTTTAGCTCGAGTCTCCCTCTTGTTTTGGTCTAAATCTCTCTGATGACATCAGTAATTTTTACTGCTCATGCAATTATCAGAAATGTGCTGGACACACTCATTAGACACACTGGCCTTTGAATGATCCACAACTTTAATTGTTTGGAAACTATTGTATTCCATGACTTTCAACCACACAGCATCACCCAAAGTATATTGATGTCAAAAAGAGGGGTCTTTGTTCTATAAAATGAGGGGATCAGACAATATACTAAGGTTCCTTTTCCTGCTCTAAAATTGTCTTCCTTCTCTAAAATATCCAATCTGATATTTGGTCCTTGAAAGTGGCAGGGGGGCAGAGCCAAGATGGCGGAGTAAAAGCAGTGACTTGTCTGAGCTGTCCCCCAAACCTCTCCAGATACCTGTAAAAAATGACTTTAAACAAATTGTAGAGCAGCAGAACCCACAAAAAGACAAAGTGAAACAAAGTTCCATTCCAAGACAACCTGGATGGTAGGAAAGGTCTATTGAGCCAGGCTGGGAAAGGAGCGCAGTTCAGCATAGACTGCTCAGGCAAAGGCCTCAGGAGACTGAATCACGGACAGATGTGGCAATTTCCACACTTCTCAACCTACAAATGCCAAAGATAACTTAGAAGGCCAGTGGGAAAGGTCTGTGGGACTTGGGTGAGAGAGAAGTGCCATCCAGTCCTGGCCGTAGCACAGCCCCGGGGTGGCGGCCAAAGTAGCAGCTGCTGCTTCTGGAGCTCGCAGCCCTCAGGCGGGTGAGTGGGAGGTTCAAACGGCTAAGCTGGGGTGGGGGGTGAGATTGCAGGAATCTCTTTGCTGGTGCTGAGGCAGGATTCTCTTGCTTTGCCCAAGCTTGGCTCTGGGTCACAGTCCTGGGGCAAGGAAGAGCGCTGGCAAGGCGGAGCTTGTGGCAGAGGGAATCCTCCTCACAATTCCAAGGCAAAAAAGAGTGTTTGTGGTCACTCATAGACTAAAGCACAGGCCAGGAAAGGAGTAAATACTTCTCCATTGATCATACCACCTTGGAGGAACTGAAAATTTACAGGTCCCTAGAAGTATCTCTGAAAACAGCTGCACAAAATCCCTGAAGCTTGGGACAACACAACCTCTACACTAGAAGCAGAGCTCTACCCTAACAGAATTAAAAAGTCAAGTAATTGGCTGGGAACATGAGCAAAGAGAGGAAAAAAAGTCAGACTATAGATCTTACTTTGGTGACAAAGAAGATCAAAACATACAACCATAAGACAACAAAGTCAAAGCTCCTTCATCCAAAGCCTTCAAGAAAAATATGAATTGGTCTCAGGCTACGGAAGAGCTCAAAAAGGATTTTGAAAATCCGTAAGGGGGCAGCTAGGTAGCACAGTGGATAAAGCACTGGCCCTGAAGTCAGGAGGACCTGAGTTCAAATCTGGCCTCAGACCAAACACCTGACACTTACTGGCAAGTCACTTGACCCCAACTGCCAACAAAAACAAAAACAAAAAACACAATAAGAAAAATAGAGGAAAAATTGAGAAGAGAAATGAGAATAATGCAAGAAAATCATGAAAAACAAGTCAACAGCTTGCTAAAGGAGACCCAAAAAAATAGTGAAGAAAATAACACCTTAAAAAATAGCCTAAGCCAAATGGCAAAAGAGGTCCAAAAAGCCAATGAGAAGAATACCTTAAAAAGCAGAACTGAAATGGAAAAGAAGGTCCAAAAGATCACCAAAGAAAACAATTCCTTAAAAATTAGAATGGAATGAATGGAAGCTAATGACTCTATGAGAAACCAAGAAATCATAAAACAAAACCAAAAGAATGAAAAAATAGAGGACAACGTGAAACATCTCATTGAAAAAACAGACCTGGACAATAAATCCAGGATAGATAATTTTAAAATTATTGGACTACCTGAAAACCATGATCAAAAAATGAGCCTAAATGGGGTATAGAAATCTATCCTGCCCTATAAGAAAATAGAAGGGGAAAGGGATTAGAGAAGGGGGTAGTGATAGAAGGGAGGGCAGATTAGGGGAAAGGGTATTCAGAATGCATGCCATCTTGGGGTACGGATAGGGGAGAGATGGGGAGAAAATTTGGAACTCAAAATCTTGTGAAAATGAATGTTGAAAACTAAAAATAAATTAATTAACTTTTTAAAAAAGAGCCTAGACATCATCTTTCAAGAAATTATCCAGGAAAATTGCCCTGATATTCTAGAACCAGAGGGTAAAATAGAAATGGAAAGAATACACCAATTACCTCCTGAAAGAGATCTCCAAAGGAAAACTCCTAGGAATATTATAGCCAAATTTCAGAGTTTCCAGGTCAAGGAGAAAATATTGCAAAGCAACCAGAAAGAAACAATTCAAATATTGCAGAAACACAATCAGGATAACACAAGATTTAGCACCTTCTTCATTAAGGGACTGGAAGGCTTAGAATATGATATTCTGGAGGTCAAAGGAGCTAGGATTAAAACCAAGAATCGCCGACCCAGCAAAACTGAGTATAATTCTTCAGGGGGAAAATGGTCATTTAATGAAATAGAGGACTTTCAAGCACTCTTGATAAAAAGACCAGAGCTGGATAGAAAATCTGACTTTCAAAAACAAGACTCAAGAGAAGCATGAAAAGGTAGACAGAAAAAAAATCATTAGGGATTTATTAAAGTTGAATTGTTTACATTCCTACATAGAAAGATATATTTGTAACTTATGAGACCTTTCTCAGTATTATATAGGGTATATGTATGTATGTATGTATGTATGTATGTATACAGACAGAGGGCACAGGGTGAGTTGAATATGAAGGGATGATATCTAAAAAATAATACAATTAAGGGGTGAGAGAGGATTGTACTGGGAGAAGGAGAAAAGGAGAGGTAGAATGGGGTAAATTATCTCACATAAAAGAGACAAGAAAAAACTTTTATAGTGGTGGGGAAGAGGGGAAGGTAAGAGGGATTGAGTGCATCTTACTCTCATTGGATTTGGTTTAAGGAGGGAATAACATACACACTCAATTGGGTATGGAAATCTATCTTACCCTACAGGAAAATAAGGGGGAAAGGGATAAGAGAAGGGGGGTTAATAGAAGGGAGAGCTGATTGGGGGAGGGGATGATCAGAAGCAAACACTTTTGAGGAGGGACAGGGTCAAAGGAGAGAAAAGAAAAAACAGGGGCCATGCAGGATGGGGGGAAATAGTTAGTCTTTCACAACAATACTATTATGGAAGTGTTTTACATGACTACACATATATAACTTACATTGAATTGCTTACCTTCTCAATGAGGGTGGGTGGGGAGGGAGGAAGGGAAAGAACTTGGAACTCAAAGTTTTAAAAATGAATGTTACATGCAACTGGGAAATAAGATATACAGGCAAAGGGGTATAGAAATCTATTCTGCCCTACAGGAAAATAGAAGGGGAAGGGGATAAGAAAAGTGGAGGAGGTGATAGAAAAGATCGTAGATTGGGGGAAAGGGTATTCAGAATGCATGCCATCTTGGGGTGAGGAGAGGGGAGAGATGGGGAGAAAATTTGGAACTCAAAATCTTGTGGAATTGAATATTGAAAACTAAAAATAATTTTAAAATATATTCAAAAAATATTAAAAATAAAATTCATGTTAAAAATAAACCATAAATTAAAAATTTCTTTAAGAAAAGACAGTGGCAGTATATGATGGTCCTCCTCACCATCAATTTTAAACATCTCAATTTACTTTTAATGGACTTATTCCATTTAATAAACGATGTGGGCAATACTAGTTTATGGTATAACCTTATTTACAAAACATGAAGGCATTAAGATTCAAATATGTAAGACCAAGATATAAAAGGTCATATAATTTAAAAAAATTAGAGGATAATGGAAACTATGGCTAGAGGATGAATTCTAAACTAACCAAAAAAAAAGTATTCATTAGGAGGAAATAAACAATTTTGACTACATATGATTAAATATCTTTTCACATTCACAAAATCAATGCAACTAGAATAAGAAAAATGGGCGAAAAGGGAAACAAATCATTGAATCAA